AAACTTCAATTTCATAACAAGGAATAGGGTGAGGAATTCTTACTCGAATCAGTATCGTAATGCTAAACTTTCAGCTACGCTTATTGCCGGTCCTCAGGTTTCCTAAATTTTCTTCCGAAAATTAAAACACGCTCCAACTACCTAGAAATACTCTAAAAAACCTAAACCGGTGTTAAAACCCTCTTCTAACATATTTTAAAATTCTGACACAGTGGCACTGCCGTGCTCTGACGACGGCAACCCTTCCTGTGACGGCGGCACTGTCGTGCTCTGGTGACGGAACCGCCGCTCACGATGGTGATTTGCCTCGAGCTGGCCGTTTTAAGTTAGTTTCGACTAATTTCGGTCGATTTTGTACTCATTCCTCTGAGAAAACACATTAAGGGGCATCGGTTGGCCGAAAAAGTCAAAAAATAAAAGCTTACCTGTGGCAGAGTTTTTTGGTGCGGCAGCTCCGCCGGTTCACTTTCGCAGTTGGGTATTTTTCTTCGGTCAACCTGTGAAAAATAAAATAGTGATTACAATTGTGAAAAAATCGCATGAAAGAGGAATCGGAAAGGGTCTCATCAGATACGATCTTTTATTTTTCCCATGGCGGTGTTGTGGGGCTTTGCCCACGATTTTTAGCTCATCCGCCAATTTTTTTGCTTCGATTTGGCCTTGGGGGTGTTCAAAATTAAATTTAAAGGGAATAAAAATTGTTTTTACTTCTTTTGGCGGTCGTAGGTGGCTCCGGCATGGCGGTGAGCAACAGTCGGCTCTCTCTCCCAGCGGCTGGTTCTTCTTCTTCGGCAGAGAATTGGCAGCTAGGGTTAGGGTTCGGTGTGAAAAAAGGTACTTATATCTATTTCCCTTTAATCTGAGTCGTCTATCTGTTTGATCTCGACCATTCGATCGCGTTTAAATAGGAAGTGAATCTGGACCGTTCATCGCAATTTGATCTGAACCGTACGATCGCACCTAAGGAGGGTACGCAGATTGCCAGGCGTGAGAACAATTCCGGACCTACCGATCGCGGGTACATAGATTGCTAGTGTGGCCTCCCGCGTGGCATCGTGTCACCGTGCCTTGTCACGCGGCGTGCTCCGGTTCGTCGGGGTTGCTGACTGGATGGTCCTACGTGGCACATTTTTTTAAAATTATATTTTGACCCCCAATTTCTAATTTTTCTTTCAAAAACATCTCTAAAACCTATATTTTCACCAATTTTTTCCAAAATTGTTTTCAATTTCATCATCTACCTATCTTTTCTAATTTTTACGTTAAATAAAATTCATAAATTAATTAAAAATTTTATTTTATACATTAATTTTAAATTTTTAAAATTAACTACGGCTATTACAAAAATGACATGACAATATAGATTAAGAAACCTTATCACATTAGCCACAGATTTAAAGCGAATAAATTAAAATAAACAGAACAGTAAATAGATAAGCATAATAAACGACTGAATAAATAATTAATACAATTAAAACTCAAAACAGGCATACACTGACTGATTACTTGCTCCATTGGCAACCTGTATTTAATTAATTAAAGAGCTGCCAATTGTTTAAAATTTTCATTTATTATTAGTTTGGCTTCAATTTAACAGTAACAGGGAAAATGGATGAGAGATTCTTACCCTAAGTCAGTGTCCAACACCACCTTTTTTCACTATGATTTTTGGTTCTTGAATTTCTTAGATTTTCTTACTAATATCAAAACATACGTCAAAATAGCGTGAAAATATGCAAAAATTGCAAAAAAGGACAAAAATCTCACCAAGGGATCAGATTGGGATTCCGGTGCGGCAGTGCTGCCGCACTCTGCAGCCTGGTCCTTTTTTTTTCGGTGGCTCTTCCTCTTAGTCAAGTCGTTTTCAGTCGATTTTCAATGAAAATCTATTTAAATCATGGTTAGGAGGTGTTTCTCGGTGAAATGAGGGAAAAAACAGAAGCTTACCAGCAGTTTTGTTCCTCCGATGTGGCGGCTCAGCCAAGCTCCATTGTTCCTTCCTCACGTTTTGCAGTTGTTCTCGGTTCCCCTGCAACGAAAATAAGTTAGACGGCTAAGGGCGGAGAAACGGAGAGAATGAGAAGAATTTTCAGCCTACCGGAGCATTTTCGACGATCTAGCACGGTGGCATCGGCGTTCCTTTGGCGACTATGTCTCTTTCCGGCCACCTCTCTTCTTTTTCTCGGACTTTTGGATGTCGGCTAGGGTTAGGGTTTCAACAGAAAATATGTTTAAATACCTCTCTTCGATCGACCTCAGTCGTCCATTCTAGGGAATATGGAAGCACACAGGTCGTCTGATTGTTCCTGTTTAACAAACTGATCTGGTCATCCATTAGAATTTGCGTGAGGCGTCAGGAGTCCTCCCATTGCGGTCTATTCGGGGAATCAATATGGGTCGTTCGTGTGCGTGGGAGTGAACATGGGCCGTTGGATCGCCCTGGCACGCAGATAGCCTGCGTTGCGTGGCTCCCGTAAGGAGCCTGTGCCAACGCATCTACTACGCGGCATGTTTTGACTCGTCGTGCTGCTGACGTAGTCATCTTACATGGCCCGTACTTCTTTTTTTTTTGTGATTTGACCCATGTTTTCAAACTTTTCTTTCAAATACACCTCCCTTTTTATTTACAGTTACACTCTGCTTTCTAAAATTGTTTCCAAATTCGTTCAAAATTTATATATCTAAAAATAATAATTAAAATTAAATCCTACAATT